TTGAGCTTTATTTCTTGATTTGATGTTTTATTTACGTTAATAATATTCCTGACATAGCTTTATATTAGAAAGTGTTGTCTACGTTATTAATTTCTTTATTTAAGAAAAGAACGAAAGGGTTGCGACCAACTTGATTTAGAGAGAAACTGGGTTAGGAGTTATTAGCCAGATTTTGGTAATATTTCAACATATTTCTCATCGATAGAAAAATGAATTATCAGAGCATGGCAACCACGACATCTTTGTAGTTCTAATCGGTGTTATCTCGTTCATATATAACGTTCTTTTGTGCTTTCATTTGAAGTGAAAAAGTCGCCAAATAAAAATGATGATATTTCACAGAAATACACAGAAATCAACAGCAACAAATCCAGGCGTATGGAGGTTATGACGAACTTAGATAAGATAGAAATGAGATTAAATTACTTCATCAAAAAATGTGTAATTGCCACATTTTCATCTCCATAATTTTACTTGTGATCCTCGTTCTCATTTATATATATTTTTTTCTACTTCTACTATTATTACTACTGTTATTACTACCACTACTACTACATTACTATTACTACTACTGCTACTGCTACTATTACAACCACTATTACTACCACTGCAGTAGTAATGGTTGTATATTACTACCACTGCAAATACTACTACTCCTGCTGCTACTACTTTTACAACCACTACTACTGCTACTACAACTGATGCTACTACTATTGCTACTATGACTGCCTCTGCTACTACTACTACTTTTACTACTACTTTTACTACTGCTTCTACTGCTATTACTACTACTACTTGTTACTACTACTACTACTGCTACTACAACTGTTACTACTACTGCTATTACTACTACTACTACCACCACTACTACCACTATTGTCTTTATTTCCCTTATTCTTCGCTTCTGATTTTTGCCTCCTCTTAAATGATATCAACTGTGTACCTTGAATATGTGTACAAGAATCCTATGAAATATATAGATGTGTACCTTAGTTATGTATATGTGCACTTTTGAAAAGCAATCTCTTGATTTGAATAGATTTGTACTATAAAAAGTTTATATATATATTTATAGATATGTTATATTTGGTGTGCATTTATATACAAATATATATCATATTATATATATATATATATATATATATATATATATATATATATATAAACACGTGTAACGTGTATGTATAGTATGAATGTACATATGTATATATATATATATGTGTGTGTATATATATATATATATATATATATATATATATATATATATATAATATATATGTGTGTGTGTGTGTGTGTGGTGTGTGTGTGTGTGTGTGGTGTGTGGTGTGTTGTGTGTGTGTGTGTGTGTGTGTGTAATATGATATATNCTTGTATACAAATACGTACATACATACATATAAATATATATCTTTTTATATTATTATTTTTTATCAATTAATTAATTTATTTTTATTACCTTTTTTAAAGTAGTACAAATAGCATTTCCACCATATTACTATAAAAGTACAATATACTTCAAGGTCACATTTAATAGTATAAAGGGTTTGATGTTTAAAATCCTACTTGAAAACAGCTAATTTTAATGTTGACTTTGTATAAAAGCAAGATAAGGCAAGTACACTCCAAACACCAGGGTGCTGTTCACCACCTACCTCACTGGAGTGCTTACGACCTAGAGGTACTTTTGGTCCCTGCAGAAGGCTGTCTTGTGCATCTATCACAGCCTCTGAAGGATTGTTGTATCCTAAACGCCTGAAATATTGAAGAAGAAATATTGTAATAAAGATTCATAGATAAAAGGAAACTTATGAGGGAGGATATTCATTACTGAAAGGTGTGGTGGTTAACTTTATTTTAATAAAAAATCCAAAAATGGCTTCTGCACTTGCTGTAGAATTAGCTGACAGAGATAAAAAGTATGAAAAATAAAGAATTTTTTGCCTCCAACCACATACTACAACACAACATGAAAGGAAATATTACATCTGCTACACTTGCCTCAAGATCTTCCGTGTCTCACTGTGACTGGGCGAAATCTTCTTTATGGAGCAGCGGGCATCATTCATCAGCAGCTCAAACAATGGAGGTTGGAAATTTGCTGAGACATCTGGGTTCATATTCACGGCATGGACATACTTCAGGAGCACAAAATCGCCACTCTGGAATGCAATCTTTCCTCAATTCTTTTGTATTTGCAGACTAACTGAAGATGAAGGGGATGAAGAATAAATAATTGGTTTAAGCTTTTACATCTATTTCTTCATCAAAGCCTTCCCTTTTTCTTCTAGAAAAATACTTGATTTCAGTTCATTTCGCATAACTAAATGTCTATAGTTTCATAATAAAAGCTTTAGATTTACTTTAATCTTCACTGCTAAACTATGTCTGCAACCAACTCCTTCCTAAAGAAATCTCAATTCTGTGTTCAAACAGAACCTTTTAAACCTTACCTCCAGCACTTTGGCATCTTCTGTCGGACTCAATACGTTAATGTCTACAA